CCTTGGAAAAAAGTGCATATGCGAACTTTGGAGCCATTCTACTTTATTACAAAAAATTAAAAATGCGCACCATCGACGATTCTCGGCATGCCCATACCAGTCATTCCAGCCTGGGACGCTAATTTATTTGTACCGGACTGCAGTGGCACAATGCCGTCTGTTGCCCGAGCTTTTTCCTCGGGTACCTCGCTTGCACCTCCTGTTCCTTTTGTTTTGTAATTGACATCCCGTGGTGATCCAAATCCTGAAAGATTACCAATTTATTTTTCACTATAGTGGCTATTTGCGATAAAAATCGATGAAAAAAAAAGTTATTAGCGAACACTATCATGCTAGTTTGCTTAGAAAAAGGTGGGCAAAGTTATTCACATTTAGAATCCTGGTTGCTACAGCCAAGCCCTATGTGTACTTATGTGCAACGATCCAATATGCTACCCCAATGCAGAAAGGCTGTTAATCTGTAAAAATTTGAAAGTTTCTATCTTAGCAGTTAGTGTTTGAAAGGATAATGGATTTTGCATCACACTTTTTCACATAGTAAAGTTGCTGCATAGAAAACTAATCATTATTCAGATTTCATCTACGGAAATTTGAAAAAGACTGGAGCAACCGAGACTGAATTATTTGCGTCCAGTATACGGCTGCAGATCGAGGGCTCAAAATTTTTCAACTTTTTTTATACTTGCGAATAATCTTGGAAAAAATCGCGAATATGACCAAAAAAAAACCCATTTTCAGGACTTAAAAATCGAAACCTATGGCAGCAAATGTGGAGTCATGCGCGTATTTGCACGCAAACACGTGCATCTACACAGATGGATAAAAAGGCGTGCCTGCATACAACAATGTATACATGTGTGCGCGCACATACACATGTACGCACAACACCAGAAAGTGCAGCAGTGTATTTAGAAAGCAGCAAACAATTGAAATTTGAGTTCTAAATGGTACCGGTCTGTCCTTTTTGTGATGCGAATTTGTTAGTGCCGGACTGAAGCCAAGTCGATTGCTTTAAACTCTTTATCTTTTCAGCGTCTGTAATTTCGGCCAAATTTTCAGCTTTAATCTTATCGATGACGTCACGAGGGGCACCGAATCCTGAAAATTTTCCAACAATACGCGTTTTGTAAACAGTTCATGTTTATTTTTTACAGTATTTTTTGTCAGCAGCAAATTCCAAATTTCCAAAGATGTTTCTTTCACAAACATCTTAGTGTTTTATTAAATTTTAACTTAAGCACCCAGTCATGATGTGCAATGGAAACGGATTAGGCAGTGTCGAATGCAAATTTTGGCAGGCCCAAACGAGAAAAGAGACATTTTATTTTGTTTGGTTAAGCTAGTGTGAAATGAATCAATGTCTCCCTAATTAGAGTATTGGTAACACAGGAAAGACTGAGCAGAAGTTCACGCAAGAAAAAAAAAAGCAAATGCACACTGTTCAACATATTACAGAGAATAAAACTTAATGCTGAAAAGCATTAAGTCTGCCGGGTGCGATCACGTGTTTGTATTAGACCTGAAGCAATCGAGTCGTTAACTTTATAAATTTTTGCTGCTTCACACTTGCCTTGTGTGCGCTCGAGCGTAAAGTACGTAAGTTTTGCACAAAGAACCCAGGCTGGAACGCACCGGGCGGGCCCGTGCGATCATGCATTTCTGCACCGGATTTGAAGTACTCAGGTCATTGACTGCATGAATGGCTTTGCTTTACACCTACCTACTGCGGTCACTAGCATAAATCACCATAAATTTTTGCAAAGTACATGTACAATTTCCACATAACAGTCGTTCTTTAAAAGTAACCTAGTTGTTCAGTAAGAAATTTTTTCGCCAAGATTTTTAAGT